CCGTTTAGTAAGCGGGAGGTCTTGAGTTCAACTCTCAATGAGAGCAATCTTGTTCCTATGGTGATCCGTTGCATGATTTTTTTTTTCCGACACAACACTTGCTCTGTTCTCGCGCCCCCTCACATTCCTTCTTACCGACCACATTTCTCTGCTCTCATCGTCTCTGTCTCTCGTCTCCCCCTACGTCCCTTCCCTTCCCTTTCCTTTCCTTTCAAGTCATCTATTCCGCTCCCTCCCTAGTCTCTCCCTATACTGCCCCTGCCCTCCATGCCTTATTTCATATGTTCATCCCCACACCCATGCCCAAATATCCTCCGCCACCCCATTCATCGCATCGTGCCATGCCCTTCATCCCACCATGCTATGCCCTTCATCCCACCATGCGATGCCCTTCATCCCACCATGCTATGCCCTTCATCCCACCATGCTATGCCCTTCATCCCACCATGCTATGCCCTTCATCCCACCATGCTATGCCCTTCATCCCACCATGCTATGCCCTTCATCCCACCATGCCATGCCCTTCATCCCACCATGCCATGCCCTTCATCCCACCATGCTATGCCCTTCATCCCACCATGCTATGCCCTTCATCCCATCATGCTATGCCCTTCATCCCACCATGCTATGCCCCTTCCTACATCATCCCATGCACAAGCCAAGTGTCTCTCTCCTTCCCACATCCTCCACCTCGGCCCTCCTTCACCCCTTCCCCTTTGCTCCCCTGCAATCTCACCGTAGCCATCGCACCCTCAGGCACCACTTCTCCCTCCCTCCCTCCCACATCAACCCATGCACGAGCCGAGTGTCTCTCCCTTTCCCCCATCCTCCACTTCCACCCGCCTTTACCTTCCCCTTCGCCCAATCACCATCTCACCGTGGCCATCACACCCTCAGACAGACACCACGTCTCCCTCCCTCCCTCCCTCCCACAACACCCAATCTTCCCCTCCACGCCTCTACCGCCCTCCTCTGCTGCTCATATATTTGTCCCCTTGTTTTCTCTCCTCCTCCCCCCTACCTCCCCGTGACTGCTCGCAGCAGCCGCCTCGCCCTGGTGGCATGGCGTGGAGGCAGGGAGAGTCACGAGCAGCACCGTCAGAACCGGGATGGCCGCTTTGATCTTGCTTTTGAGTCGACTCAAAAATAGGCGAGGCGAGGTGTGGAGGAAGGGCGAGTCAGCGGCACCGTCAGAACCGGGATGGCCGCATTGGTCATGACTGACTGGCCCTCCATTACCCGTACCGCCCTCCTCTGCTGCTCGTACATCTGCCCCTGTTCTCTCTCCTCCTCCCCCCTACCTCCCCTGTCACCCTGCTCCCAGCAGCCGCCTCGCCCTGGTGGCATGGCGTGGAGTGGAGGCCGGGTAGGAATCACTCACGAGTCGCTCGTGAGTCGCTCGCCATCGATGGAGAAAGGGGGGCAGTTGACTAGTTGTCGCTAAGACTCGCTTCTGAAAGGCTGCGAGAGTTAGTGGAGGGAGGTGATGGACAGACCAGGTTGCAGTTCATTCATTTCCCCCATCCCCGCCCGCTCCAATTGCCTCCCTTCCCCACCCAAATCCAGTTTTGAGTCGACTCAAAACTTTCCCCCATCCCCGCTCCGATTGCCTCCTGTCCCCTCCCAAATCCCGATACCTTCTTCCTAACCAGCCCCCATTCGCATCCTCCCATCCCTTATCCCATCCATTCAGCCTTGCGTTTGAGCATCCCGCACCGACTTGTGACCCCTAACATCTGCCATTGCCACACAAGGTGACTTTTGAGTCGACTCAAAAGTCGACTTGTGACCTCTGACATCTGCTGTTACCACACATGCGCATTACTGCTTTTGAGTCGACTCAAGCTTTTGTGTCGACTCAAGCTTTTGAGTCGTCTCGAAAGCGTTTGAGCATCCCACACCGACTTGTTACCCCTGACATTTGCCGTTACCACACAAGGTGAATTTGAGTCAACTCAAAATTCGACTTGTGACCCCTGACATCTTCCGTACTCACTGACTCGTGACCCCTGACATCTGCCGTTACCACACATGCGCATTACTCACCCTTCTCTTGACCTCCATCCCTCTTTCTCCATCGGACCCCCCAGCGCCCCACCTTCTTTTCTTACACGGACTCACGGATTCATGCCCCTACTGCACTGTTTCCCACATCCCTCCTCCTTAGCTCCCCAGCTGGTTCTCTTGACCCGACTTCCGGCCCATAGCTCGCACCCGTATGTCTCTGTCTACCCACCCCTCTCATGAGCCACTGGTGCTTATCCTCCTTTCCTCTCCCATTTCCCCTTCCCCCCAGCACTGCACCTGCTCCCCCACACCCACGTCTAGCCCGCAGGTTTTGTCCCACAGATAAGCCACCCACGTCTGCCCCACTCATCAACTCCCTCCCACTGCACCTGCACCTGCTCTCGCGAGTCACTCGTGTGACTCGAGAGTGTCTCCTACACTACACCCACGTCTAGCCCACAGGTTTTGGCCCACGGAGAAGCCACCCACGTCTGCCCCACTGCACGGACTCGCCCTCCCACAGCGCAGGCACACTGCTCACCCAGGCACCCCTCCCTTCCCCATACCCTCTCTCCCCACCCCCCCCTCCTCTTCCTCACCACTTCCTGCTCCGCAATTGCTTCTCCTACACCAGTGGCTGCCCCACGAATTTCTGTACCATAAATTCATTGCTCATGAGTTGAAATCACTCTTGCGAATTCCCAATAACTGTTCCCGAGGAACTTGAGGGCTGCTGAGTGCGCTTTTTGCCAGGGATGCAACGCACCTTTCCTTCACCGCCGGTGCCCTCGTCACTTCCTTTGAGACGTCTCAAAACTTGAGGGCTGCTGAGAGCACTTCTTGCCAGGGATGCAAGCAACGCACCTTTCCTTCACCGCCATTGCCCTCCTCATTTCTCCCTCCACCCAAAACCCCCCCCCCCCCCCCCCACCCACCCACCTCTGTAGCTGCTTCTCCCAGACCGACTTGTGCCCCACAGACTTCGCTGCTCCTACGACACTGTCTTCCCATCTGTGCTGTTGTCTTCCACATCTCTCTCATAACCCTTTTCCCCATCGCTCAATGTCATTGTTTTCCCTTCTGTGCTGTTGTCTTCCACATCTCTCTCAAAACCCTTTTCCCCATCCCTCTATGTCATTGTCTTCCCATCTGTGCTGTTGGCCCTTTTCTTTCGCTCCCCTTCCCTCCCCCCACACCTCCCACCCACCAGCACTGACTCTGCACCTGCTTCTCCTACACCTACTTTTGCGCCATAGACTCCCGTCCCTAAGCCGCAGACGCACAGCTCACACCCACAGCAGCACGGTAGAGCCTGCTGATGACTTTTGAGATGTCTCAAAAGTCGCACCTGCTTCTCCTACACCTACTTTTGTGCCATAGACTCCCATCCCTAAGCTGTGGCTGCACAGTATGGTAGAGCCTGCTGACGTGGCGGAGGTGCGCGAGAGGCTGCAGGCGAAGCTTGAGACGTCTCAAAAGTCGCGAGAGGCTGCACGCGAAGCTGGCCAAGGCTGGGCTACCGGGTGTTCCGAGGCAGTGCATGAGGAGGGACGTGCGGAGGAAGGAGGAGGTGCGTTCGGGGTGAGTGAGGGAGGGGTTGCGAGCGAGCTTGGCTGTTTGATACTTATGAGTCAATAGTGGGTCACGAGCTGATTACGGGTGAGGCAAGGCTATGCTGGGTTCCGCAAGGTTGAGCAAAAGGAGAAGGAAATGGGCTGGTGAGGACGGGGAAATGTTGATGTTTAAAAATAGCTGAGGGACCAATAAAACACGTGCTCATGCCGGAGTGGTTATCGGGACAGACTAGAAATCTGTTGGGCTCTGCCCGCGCAGGTTCGAATCCTGCTGAGCACGCGTTCTCTTCAGTGCGTTTCGCTGACGAGAACGAGTCAGCATCAGTGTCATGAGCCAGTTCTGTATGTGAATTGTTTTGCACTTCGAATCTCGACATCAAGATGCGCGAAAACAAACGTCAAGGGTTGGGTGTTCCCTCTCTCTCACTTGCTCTTTTCTCCCTCTTCCCTCCCCTTCAGTATCTCTCTTTCTCTCTTACTGTCTCTCTGTCCCATCCCTCTACAGGCCATCAGTCACTGCAATGCAACCCATATGCCCTCCTGTTCAACCCGCCCGCACCCTCTCTTCTCCCTCACCCCACTCTCCCTTGCAGCTCTCTCATTGGCTCATCACCTCCCCCAGAATTTCCCCTCAGTCCCCAGTGTACCAGCTAGCTCGAGGTGACTTTTGAGTCGACTCAAGAATTTCCCCTCAGTCCCATAGTGTACCAGCTAGCTCTCGTTTGTTGCCCCTTCCCCCTCTCCCACGGACCTCCTCCCACATTCATCCTTTCTTTTCCTCCCCACTCTCCCCCGTTTCCCTCCCCTCTCCACTCTCCCCCCTTCCCTTCCCTCTCCTCCCCTTCCGCCCCCATCTTGGCCCCTTCCCTCCCCACCCTGCCCCCCTTTCCCCTCCCCCAGCTCTTTGATTGGCTTATCACCGTAACCTCTCCCCTCATTCCCCTTAATTACCAACTTGCCCTCGCCTGTGCTGTGTGGTGCAATGCGGTGGAGACCGTTAGAGACATGTTCCTCTCCTTTCCTGAGGAGTTGCGCGCAGAAAAAGGTAGGTGGGATTTGGGAACTTAGTGAGGTTGATTTTGGATTGGGTGTGGTTGAGTGCGGTTGACTGAGGTGTCTTGCCCTCTTAACCAACTGCGCTCCCAGCCTGTGCCGTGCGGTGCAATGCGGTGGAGACCGTTTAAGCAGCGTCGATTTTCTTTCCCTAGCAGTTTTTTCATTCACTCATCCTCCTCAGCGCAATTGGGTAAAAACCGATTGTTTCCATTTCTGCCCGCTTGTGAATCAGGTGCATGTTGGAGTGCTCAATCATTTGGCTAGGCGCAGTCGGGCGCACAAGTTAGGGGAAGAACTGGAATGGCTGCATTATCAAGGGGTACCTGAGAATATACCCTGTATTGGGCCAAGCTTCAGGGGTTAATGGCCCAACACGAGATTATGATGAAAGAGGCTGCATGGTATAGGTTTGATGGGGCTATAACGAGTGAGGGAGAAGAGGAGGGAGGAGAGGAGGGAGGGGGAGGAAGGAAGGGGATGTGACTGGGAAATTCGGATTGTTCTAGGAGGTGGAGGGGAAGGAAGACTCAAGTAAGGAGCAGTTGGGGGAATCGCTAGAGGAGATCCGATGTTGCAAGAAATGAAGGAGAAGGTGAGTGTACAGAAAGGGTGATCATAACGAGAAGAAGGTTCCTATAAGGTGATTTTAGCGAGAAGATTTTTTTTTATAATAATAATGAGCGGTTGGAGCATGTGCTAGAGGCTGATCAAATGCTGCAAGAAACTTTCAGCCATAAGGGTTGGGCGAGCTGCAGCCACGAGTTTTGGGACGTCTCAAAACTTGGTTGGAGCAAGTGCTGGAGGCTGATCCTATGTGATTTTTGAGGCGCCTCAAAAATCCCCTCAAGTGCTGAAGGCTGATTAAATGTTGCAAGAAACGAAGGAGGAGGAGAGAGTACACTAGTCTCAATTGCTATGTATGATATTCCAAGCCCCCCTGCCCCTTACTCCTAGCCAGCCGCAGCAGGCTCGGGCTCATGTGTGTGTGTGTGTGTGTGTGTGTGTGTGTGTGTGTGTGTGTGTGTGCGTGCGTGTGCGTGCGTGCGTGCGTGCGTGAGTGCGTGCGTGCGTGCGTGCGTGCGTGCGTGCGTGCGTGCGTGCGTGCGTGCGTGTGTGCGTGCGTCCCCCCTCCTCTTTTCCTCGTGTAAAGGGAATGCTGCAGACGAAGCTGCTTACAACATCAGCCTAGCCAGCCTGAGCAGGCTCGGGTAGATTGCAGACTTGGTTTGTTTTTTTAGAATTCTCAAAAAACGGAGATAGTAGAATTGGCGTCGTATCTGGCACGCATACGGGCAGACGGCGGGCAGCCCACCGGTTTGCCCAGCAGTGTGACGTACAACGTCCTGATTGGTGCATACACGCTCGAAGGGCAGTTTGAAAAAAAAAAAAAAAAAAAACGGACCTGTGTAGCGAGGAAATGGGGGGAGCACGAAATAGGCTGAATGTGAAGACCTATTGGGCCTTGATGGGTCCATATGCGAAGCGGGGAGCGGTTGAGAGGTTTCACTAAGTGTGGGAAGAGGTGACTAGACTGCCTGTGGATAGGTGAGACTGAGTTTCTGAGTTCTTGGGTGGGAAGGTGGGGGGTTTGGGGGTGTAGGGGTGTTGGTGGGGGTGGGGTGTTGGGGTGTGTGTGTGGGTGTATGTTGGTGGGTGTATGTGTGTGTGTGTTGTGTGTGTGCGTATGTGTGTGGATGTTGGTGTGAGTATGGTTGTGGGTGGGGTCTGTGTGTCTCCACGCGTCTGTGTGTGTGTGTGGGGGTGTGTGTGTGTGGGGGTGTGTGTGTGTGTGTGTGTGTGTTTGTGGGTGTGGGTGAGTGTGTGGGTGTGATGTGCATGGGTTTGTGCTAGGATGTTGTGAGTGTGCATTGGCATTTTGTGTTCCTGACTTTGTGGATTTCTTCTCGTTCCTGTGTTGTCTTCCTTATCCCTTCTTCCCCTTCTCCCCTTCAATGTCATTGGAATTTTGTCTGCTCCTATATTGGAGTGACTTTTGAGAATTCTCAAAAGTCTCCACTTCAATGTCATTGGAATTTTGTCTGCTCCTACATAACACATCACTTTTGTCTTCCTGACTTTCTGGATTTCTTCTCGTTCCTGTGTTGTGTTCCTCAACCCTTCTTCCCCTTCTCCCTCCCAAAAATCCCAACCCCAAACCCCTTGAACTTGATCATTTTATCAAAATCGTTTTTCTTGTGGGAGCATTTACCAGACTCGAGCTAGGTTCCCGTGTTTTCCAGTGTCTCCTACCCTCCTCAATTCCTCTCCCCCTCCCTCAAAACAACCCAAACCACCCCCTGTTCTGCTCTCAAATCGAGGTACACAGCTTAAAACAAGTCCCTGCCATCCTCCCCTCATTGCGAACGGGGCGAAATTACACGTTTGCAGTGTTCAACAAGATGCCACGTGTATAAAGGGTATTTTTTAGACGTCTCAAAAATACCCTTTATACACGTTTGCTACCGTTGCAGTGTTCAACAAGATGCCACGTGTATAAAGGGTATTTTTTAGACGTCTCGAAAATACCCTTTATACACGTTGCCACCGTTGCAGTGTTCCCTGCCATGTGTTCAACAAGATGTGCGCTCATGCCGCCCACCATGCCATCGTTCAACATGCTCCTAGCAACACCTTCATTCCAAACCACCCCAGCACCCTGTCTTCCTCAGCAGCACCTTCATTCCAAACCACCCCACCACCCTGTCTTCCTCAGCAACACCTTCATTCCAAACCACCCCACCACCCTGTCTTCCTCAGCAGCACCTTCATTCCAAACCACCCCAGCACCCTGTCTTCCTCAGCAGCACCTTCATTCCAAACCACCCCAGCACCCTGTCTTCCTCAGCAGCACCTTCATTCAAAACCACCCCAGCACCCTGTCTTCCTCAGCAGCACCTTCATTCCACCTGCATCATTCAGCATGCTCTAACAGCAGTCAGTGGGTCAGGCAGAGTGGGGAAGGCCCCAAAAAATCCCTGCACTGCTGGCCTGACCTCTCTAACCTATTCCACTTTTTCTTTTGCACCTTTGAGTCGACTCAAAAGTCATGCTGGCCTGACCTCTCTAATCTATTCCACTTTTTCTTTTGCACCTTTGAGTCGACTCAAAAGTCATGCTGGCCTGACCTCTCTAACCTATTCCACTTTTTCTTTTGCACCTTTGAGTCGACTCAAAAGTCATGCTGGCCTGACCTCTCTAACCTATTCCACTTTTTCTTTGCACCTAGAAGCACTAGGGCGGCCGCGGGCAGGATGGGAATGGCAGGTGGCTTTTGTGAGTCAACTCAAAAACTGCACCTAGAAGCACTAGGGCGGCTGCGGGCAGGACGGGAAGGGTAGGCGGCCCCACAAGACCCCGACAGTGCTGCCCTCCTTACCCTGTCTCTTCTCTATTCCCTGTTCGTTGTTCTCCCGCTCCCTCACTGCCCCTCTCCCCCTTCATGCGTTCAATGAGACGTGTGGCCTCATGCCCCCCACCACTGCATCCTTCAACACCATCACTCAACCCATAGGCCTTCCCTTCAACACCCTGTGTACGCCTCCCCTCTCCTACTGCCCCTCATTCACCAGGCGCTCAATCAGTTGTGTACGCACATGCCCCCCACCACCATCCTTCAACACCATGACTCAACCCATAGGCCTTCCCTTCAACACCCTGTGTACGCCTCCCCTCTCCTACTGCCCCTCATTCACCAGGCGCTCAATCAGTTGTGTACGCACATGCCCCCCACCACTGCATCCTTCAACACCATGACTCAACCCATAGGCCTTCCCTTCAACACCCTGTGTACGCCTCCCCTCTCCTACTGCCCCTCATTCACCAGGCGCTCAATCAGTTGTGTACGCACATGCCCCCCACCACTGCATCCTTCAACACCATGACTCAACCCATAGGCCTTCCCTTCAACACCCTGTGTACGCCCCCCCTCTCCTTCTGCCCCTCGCCCACCAGGCATTCCATGAGATATGTGCTGTGCGCGCATGTCCCCCGGCCACTGCATCCTTCAACGTGTTCCTAGCGGCACTCACTAGGGCAGGGAGGCTGAGCAAGATCCCTGCTGTGCTTCCGTCGTCCTTACGCTTTCGTGCCTTCTCCTATGTGTTCTCTTTTTTATATCGCACATGGTGTTGATCCGACCGAGCTATTTTTATTGGATGTAAGAACACTGCATTTACTTTTTTTTTTGTTGGATGTAGGTACACTGGATGCAATTACACCTGCAGTTGTAATTGTATATCATTTAGTGAGACAATGAATCGCTCGATCAAATCATTAGCAGACACATGTTATAGACACAAAATCCTCGCCTCGCATACGCTTTAGCGAAAAGCTTTTCGCCGAGGCTGGCGGGGAGGTGGCCGCATACATACGCCACACCATCCGAAACTGCTGCTGCTGTACCGCATTCCTGCTTTACCGTTCTGCACTCCTGGGTTCTGCAAACCGTTCATTTCCTGTCCATACTGTTCCGATGAAAAATATGCCTTGCTGCTGCCAGCACCTCCCCCCCATGCTGCACACTGTGGGCGGAGCGCGAGGCTTGGGAGCTCGACAGATAACGGCCGTCGCAGTGCATCGCAGGCAGCACGGCGCGTGTCGTTCTTCTCAAGGAATGCGCACCCATCACTCGCAGCCTCACCCGCGTTCCGTTGGTCAAGGGTATAGCGCGGTTGCTTGTTTCGCCCGCGCAACAGCGAGCCACCGTTATCACTCCCACGGGACTCGCGCCGATTACTCTCTCTCGCAGCCTCACCCGCGTTGTTCAACCGCCGCGGCGAGAGTTTAGCGCAGTCGTTTGTTTCTCCCGCCGCAACAGCGACTCGCCGCGGCCTTCCCTGACGTGCAGCGCCGTGACAGCGTGCGCGTTCCGATGCGTGCCGCGTGAGCCCGAGTCGGCGCAGCTCTGACTTCGCCGTGCCGTCCCCTTGAGAATTTTCCTCGTTCCCTCGCAGATCCTCGCTCCGCGCGCCGTTGAAGGGCGGATCGTTTTCGAATCAAGCGGTCCGCGCGCCATTGAAGAGAGTGGGCACGAATAAAGCGATGCGGGCTGCCTCGTCTCGCACCCGTCGCCGCCTTTTCTCATCGCTCACCCTGCTCGTGCCGATTTGCCTCGTTCTCGCCACGTGTTCGCGCCTGTCCCTGCCACGAGTACACTTCTCACTGCGCCTGGAATGGCCCGAAGGCCGCCCGTATCACGACGTCAGCACCAGCCACCCTGGGAGCGACCATGTGGCGGCAGGCGCGAGTCAACGGAGTCAACGGAGGGCCCTCGCGGAGAATCCGTATGCCGCACCGCCGCCTCCGCCTCCCGTGTGCGAGTGCCCCGCGTGCCCCGGCGATAGTGGCCGCGGCGTTAGTGGGCCGGGGGGCATCGATGCAAGAAGCAGTGGTGGAGAGGGTGTTAGTGCTGGAGTGGGGAGCGATGGTGGAGCGGAGGGGGGAGGCGAGGAGGCGGCGGCGTGGGGCGAGAACCACGCGTTCCGAGTGCACCCGACGAGCATCAACCTGTTTGCCGTCGTCAGCACCTACCGCACTGGCGAGGACAGGTGAGGTAAGGCGAGGACAGGCGGGGTAAGACATGGTGCTGCTGTGTGTGAGATGACAGGGGAGGCGAGGCGGCGGCAGCGTGGGGCGAGAACCACGCTTTTCAACCTGTTTTCAACCTTTTCGTCCTCGAGTGCACCCGAGGAGCGTCAGCCTGTTTGCCGTCGTCAGCACTTACAGAACCGGCGAGGCCGGGTGGGCCGAGTCAAAGCGTGGTAGGGCAAGGCAAAGCGCTGCTGTGTGTGGGATGACAGGTGGGACAAGGCGCTGGGCGCGGGGCGAGAACCACGCGTTCCGGGTGCACCCGATGAGCATCAGCCTGTTCGCCGTCGTCAGCACTTACCGCACCGACGAGGCCAGCCAGGTGAGGCAAGGGTAAGATGTGGGTGTTGGGCGGCAGGTGAGGCAAGGCGCTGCTGGGTGTGGGACGACAGGTGGTGCGCGCTGAGCCAAGCTGGTTGGAACCAAGGCTTGTCGCATTATGTGGCACCACTTCAAAACGCCTCACCACTTTCCTCCCAGACCAACTTCACCATCTCCTCAGCTCTCCCATTACAAATCTCCATTCAACCCATCTTAACCACTAAATTCGGATTACCGAGCATTCCACGTTGCCCTTCCACCCTCCCATCCCATCCCATCCCATGCGTGTTGCTGTCAAGCGTTCCACCTCACTGCCCTCCCATCCGTGGGCAGCTTTATGGTGGTGGGCGAGTCGCTGCTGGCTGCACAGCCGCACTTCGAACCATTCAAACCATCTTTACCATTACGTCGGATAACCAAACGCTTTTCGTTGTCCTCCCTCTCCTCCCATGCGTGCATGACAGTTTCATGGTAGTGGGCGAGTCGTTGCTCGGCGCTCAGCTGCATTTTGCGGGTGCGCTGGTGGATGAGTGCGTGTGGCAGGGCGAGGGGGAGGGGCAAGGGGGAGGGAAGGAGCCTCCGGTCGTTGCTCTAGCCGAGACCTTGCATGTGAGTGACATGGGCATGCATGTGTGTAGCATGTGGGTAGCACGCGAGTAGCTGTTGGGCGCACAACTGCGAATTATGGCTGCAAGTCTCTCCATAACGCATCCTAAAAAGCGGCAGGGAAGAAAGCGATTGTCATTCAAGCCTATCACGTGAAGAGCCGCTTGTGGATATTTGTGAGGTCGATCATTGTGAACCCAGCCTTCATTTCACATATCAAGAAGACGCTAAATACATTGGTGAACGAGTTTGGCTCCACGTGCAAACTCTGTAACATTTTCCTCACATTAAAAAAAAACAAAAAAAAACAAAACAAAAAAAAAAAAAAAATCGTTAAGGTTTGGCATGTGGAGCCAAACTCGATCGTCAAGGTGTTCAGCGTCTCCTTGATCAATGAATCGAAAGTTGGGCTTGCGATGATCGGCCTCACAAATATTCACAAGTGATTCTTCAAGTCATGGGCTTGAGTGACAGTCGTGTTCTTCCATGCCACTTTCTGGGATGTGTCGAGGAGAGTCTTGCAGCTATGACACCACATTTGTTATTTCAAGGAATAATTTCACAAGGTGGTCAGAAATTACACATTGCAATACTTGAGAATGGAAAATGACATTGGCCCATCTTGGACAGCGTTTGAACTGAGATGTTCTGCATGCTTGGAACTTTGACTTCAAAGGCTGCGAATAGAACACCTCCCCCAATTGACGACTGTTAAGAGATACATTTAACAGCTAGGAATTTGAGCATCATATTATATTGGAATCAGGAGAATCACTGCGCACTCCCATGAGCGCCGTCATGTGCGCTGGACCAAAATTGTGTTGGAACTGACTGCGCTACTTTCACAGTGGCGTATGCGTGGACAAAAAAAAGTGATCTGTAAATTCTGCTCGTCCCTTTTTTTTCCTCCCCACCACCAGCTGCGCCACTAGGAGCACATCTCCCTCCTCTGGGGCACGCAGCTCATCTCAGTGATCTCACACACGCCACCTCAATCCCCTTCCCCATTTCATCATCCACCCACCCCCCCCTCTCTCTCCTTTCCTCCCCACCACCAGCTGCGTCCCTCAGAGCACATCTCCCTCCCTTGGGGCGCGCTGCTCATCCGCTGCGCCTTCAACAAATCAGTGGGCAGCAACAGCAGAGGTGGCGTGCTGTCAGTATTGAAGCGCTCGGAGCAGCAGCGGCAGCGCCGCAGCATCGCCCACGAGCACTCCCACGCTGTGGGCTTCGACGTGGAAGCCACCTCCCCCCTCACCCTGCACACTGCGCCCATGACCGTCTTCCGGGAGAAGCCAGGCGGCTTCGATATAGTCACATCCCCACTGAAGTACAATCTCACTTACTGCAGCGGGTCGCTCTTCGGGCACATCGATCCGCGGGCATTGGGGGACTGGATTCGGTACCACCACAGGGTTGTGGGCGTGGAGAAGTTTTTCTTGTATGATCATGGCGGGCTCACTGTGGATAATGACACGGCGGCGGTGGTGGCGCCTTATGAGGAGACGGGGGTGGTGACTGTAACGAGGATGAAGGGGGGGCGGCATTTCGTGTCGTACTATTCGCACCAGATTATGAACCAGAATGACTGCCTGTATCGGTCGAGATTCCTCACCAGGTGAGTAACGTGCTCACCTACTTGTTCTGCCCTTGTCTGTACCTGCACCGTACCCCACTTGGAGGTATTCTCTAGCTTCATTTAATTCTCACTCTCTCGCACCGCACTTCTCATGCCTTTCTCTGTCTCAACCTCCCCCCCCGCACCCCATACCCCACCAAACCCTACCCAACTCCCTCCTCACCACCATTGTCACTCCATCTTCACGCCGCCACGGCTTGCCCTGCCTCACCCTTCCCCCCACCACCCCTTTCTGCTTACCCCATTCCCCTCCATCCCGCCTTCCCCTCTTCAACCCCCCCTTCCTTGATTTCTAGGTGGCTGCTCTACACAGACCTCGATGAGTACATCTTCACACCGCCGCCTGCCACCTTCCTCTCATGGCTGCACCGCCTTCCTGAGAATGCCTCGTGGGCGAGCATGGGGTCGTACATGCACAGCATCAACACCTGCAGCCAGCCGAACCGCGGCAATGCCACTAACGAGTCGCAGCTCTTAGTGGAGCATCTGCCCTGGAGGGCGGAGCTCCCAAGCTGCTCGGACCGGGCAAAGGCGTTGGTGTGCCCAGGAGCGCAGGGGAGGAGGAAGCAAGTGGTGGATCCGAGGAGGGTGAACATGGTATCAGTGCACCGTGTGGAGGACCCTTGGGATGCGTATGGTGTTGACTGGAATGCCTCGTTTGCCGAGCCGCTGCCGAAGCTGATGCATTTTCAGGGCCTGCCAGTGAGGAAACCTGTCAATGTGCGGTGTAGGGATGTCAAGGAGGGGCCTTTGAAGGAGGGAGAGGTGGTGGAAGATGGGAAGGTTCTGGATTTTACGTTTCGAGATTTTGTTGCCAGTGCTTTGAATAGAGTTGGTTGAGTGCTGTTCAAGATATATTCACAGGAAAATCACAGAAGCTAAACACAACAATTCTTGAGTGGTACAGATTATAAGCAGATCCAAATTCGCTGTGCGGCTCACGTAAAGCGAGAACTGCGTTTCCCTTCGTGTCGCTCGAACAGCCGAGTCTGGTAACCAGCATTCGAACCAATCTGGCACAAACAGACATTTATCAACAAATTTCGAACCCTAAATTCTCTTTTCGACACGACACTCCCCATGTTACTAGCTTACCCAAGTATTTTGACTATCCCCACTGCGCCCACCCAAGTTCAGTGTTTAGGTCTCCCTAGTATTTAGGCACTAGATCAGCGGCGAACCCCCCCGACGATCGCGGCCTCATAGCGGGACTCAGGGCACGCAGCGGGACTCAGGGCACGCAGCGGGACTCAGGGCACGCAGCGGGACTCAGGGCACGCAGCGGGACTCAGGGCACGCAGCGGGACATAGCTCGGCGACGTAGCTGGGCGAGCGAGCAGCGGGGCAGCGGGGCAGCGGGACTCAGCGGGACGCAGCGGGACGTAGCAGTTGGTGCCGGCGGGGCTTAGCTCGGCGTCGTAGCTGGGCGGGCGGACAGCGGGCAGCGGGCAGCGGGACGTAGCAGGTGGTGAGAGCGGGAGGTACGGTAGCGCGGCGCGGCGGGGATGGCGGAGGAGGAGGAGCTGGCGATGGGGTCGGACGACGACGCCGACGCCGAGAGCCCCGAGGAGATTCTCGCCAAGATCGACGACCGCTCGCAGCGCGTCGCGCACTTCCTCTCCGAGTGAGCCGCTCCTCCCGCGTCGCCTGGCATTCGATCACTCACCCCCTCGTCCCCCTCGTCCTCCCTCGTCAGCTCGTGCATTCGCCCTCTCACTCACTCTCTCCCTCTCTCTCCCTCCATTCTCCCTTCTCTCCCCCTCCATTTGGCCCTAGCTCTCCCTCCCTCCATACCATCCGCCCCTCTCCCTCCCTCCATCCGCCCCTCTCCCTCCCTCCATCCGCCCCTCTCCCTCCCTCCATCCGCCCCTCTCCCTCCCTCCATCCGCCCCTCTCCCTCCCTCCATCCGCCCCTCTCCCTCCCTCCATCCGCCCTTCTCCCTCCCTCCATCCGCCCCTCTCCCTCCCTCCATCCGCCCTTCTCCCTCCCTCCATCCGCCCCTCTCCCTCCCTCCATCCGCCCTTCTCCCTCCCTCCATCCGCCCCTCTCCCTCCATACCATCCGCCCCTCTCCCTCCCTCCATCCGCCCCTCTCCCTCCCTCCATCCGCCCCTCTCCCTCCCTCCATCCGCCCCTCTCCCTCCCTCCATCCGCCCCTCTCCCTCCCTCCATCCGCCCCTCTCAAGGCGGCTGTGAGCGTGATGGTGCGCTCATTCGCAACCCCCCTCCCCGCCCCCTTCCTCCTCCACCCCCCACCCCCCACACCCAACGTTTGCACGGGGCTTGCCCTGCAGGGGTCGAGTGCCAGAGGCGCTCAAGGCGGCTGTGAGCGACCCACCCATTGCCACACGCGACCAGAAGTGCAAGGTACGCTTGCTATGGCACTTGCAATGCTTCTGGAAGCCTCACATGGATGGAAAGATAGAGCCTAGAGCACAAAGTTACGGGGCGATTTTTTCAATCGAAAGCTAGAGCTAGAACACAAAGTTACGGGCCGCTGAGATGATTAAGTTTAGACTCCAAACCGTCCTTCCATCAGCTCCTTTCCTCCCCTGTTCGGCCCACATGTTGCACAGTGACTTTACCACCCTAACTGTCCTCCGGTATCGTATGATGTTGTGGCGAAACACATGCAATCTAGCTGACTTTTGAGTCGACTCAAAAGTCAGCACATGCAATCTAGGCACTTCTTTCCATTCTGTGCCACTGCGTGCTTTGTTGTGCGGGTGAGGGGCGGCCAGGACGCCAACTGGGAGGTGGTGCAGCAGCAGGCGCTGGTGGCTGTCCATGCCACTCAGTGCAGTGGTTGCTGTTTTCGAGTCGACTCAAAAACAGACTCCATGCCACTCAGTGCAGTGGGTGCTGTTTTCGAGTCGACTCAAAAACAGACTCCATGCCACTCAGTGCAGTGGGTGCTGTTTTCGAGTCGACTCAAAAACAGACTCCATGCCACTCAGTGCAGTGGGTGCTCCTGCTCTCCTGTGACTCATTCACTAATTCCCTTCCATTCTGTTCAATTTGTTGCCCTCTTGTGCTGTGCGGGTGAGGGCTCGCAGGACGCCAACTGGGAGGTGGTGCAGCAGGCGCTGGTGGCTGTCTTTGTTAACACTGGTCATCCGCCCAACCTCCCTTCACGCATTCACACCTTCCCTTCAATTGCATGCGACTCTGTGTCCCGCTGTGCGGGTGAGGGGCGGGCAGGATGCCAACTGGGAGGTGGTGCAGCAGGCGCTGGTGGCAGTCTTTGTTAACACTGTTCATCCGTCCAACCTCCCTTCACTCATTCACACCCACCTTTCCATCTTATTGGTTCTTTGCCCCGCTGTGCCGGTGAGGGGCGGGCAGGATGCCAACTGGGAGGTGGTGCAGCTGGCGCTGGTGGCAGTCTTTGTTAACACTGTTCATCCGCCCAATCTCCCTTCACTTATTCACACCTTCCTTTCCATTTTATTGGTTCTTTGCCCCGCTGTGCCGGTGAGGGGCGGGCAGGATGCCAACTGGGAGGTGGTGCAGCGGGCGCTCTTGGCGGCGCCTTTGAGGCGCCTCAAAAATAATTTTCCGAGTCCTTTCCATCCCGTGCCACTCTGTGCCCTGCTGTGCCGGTGAGGGGCGGGCAGGATGCCAACTGGGAGGTGGTGCAGCGGGCACTGGTGGCAGTGGAGGACGTGGATGGGGCCATTGCAGGGTTGAAGTCCGAGGGGTGCGACACACTCATGCGGTGAGTAATGCTGTTGTAGTGCAGACTGTGTAAGTAAGTACCATGTGTGCTGCTGCCTTTCCGTGCCCTGCTGTGCGGGTGCGAGTGAGTACCGTGTGGCTTCTGAGTCGACTCACAAGTCAGTGCGCTGGTGGCAGTAGAGTGGAGGACATGGATGGGGCCATTGCAGGGTTGAAGTCCGAGGGATGCGACACACTCATGCGGTGAGTGCGTGCTGTGTGCTGTGTGCTGCCTTTCATTGCCCTGCTGTGCGGGTGAGTGCCGGTGACTTTAGAGATGGTTCAAGCAACAGTCAGCACACTGGTGGCGATGGAGGATGTGGATGGGGCCACTGCTGGGCTCAAGTCAGAGGGGTGCGATGCGACACACTCATGCGGTGAGTGGGTGCTGTGGGTTTGAATAGTGCAGTGCAGATTGCGGAAGAGGGGTGAGTCGACTCAACGGTCAGCGCACTGGTGGCGGTGGAGGATGTGGGTGGGGCCATCACAGGGTTGAGAAGGGTTGAAATCCGAGGGGTGCGACATGGCACACTTCACCCCTCCCCGCCATGCCCCTTCACCCCACCCCGCCCCTTCACCCCGCCCCGTCACCCCACCCCGCCCCTTCACCCCGCCCCTTCACCCCACGCCGCCCCTTCACCCCACCGCACCCCTTCACCCCACCCCCCCCCCCCCCCCCCCCCCCCCCCCCCCCCACCCCTTCACCCCACCCCTTCACCCCACTGCAGGTACCTGTATCGAGCGCTGAGGACGGGGGATCCATCGCTGTGTGCGAGGGCACTGCGGGTGCATGAGAAGCTGACGGAGAAGGCAGGGCTGGGCTGCATCATGCGCGTCATTGTAACGCCGTCACCCCACTGTTTGTGCTGCGCCCCTTCACCCTGCCCCTTCACCTCCCCCCTTCACCCCACTGCAGGTACCTGTATCGAGCGCTGAGGACGGGGGATCCATCGCTGTGTGCGCGGGCGCTGCGGGTGCATGAGAAGCTGACGGAGAAGGCAGGGCTGGGCTGCATCATGCGCGTCATGGCTGATAGGAAGCACACCGTGTAGTGTTGAGTGTGTTCTGTGTGTGTGCGTCTGTGTGTACCTCATTAGTGTTCAGTATGTGTCAAAACTACCAGACAGAAACAAGAATGAAGAAAGGAGGGTTTGCACTAGCAGCAGTTGGCATACATATAGGAAACCCTAATTGGGTTGTACTCGCTATAGAGTACCCCATTGCAGGCTAGATAATAATAACATTCTGACAGTATGTCCTGCTTTCGAGAAGCTGAGTAGGCAGGGCTGGGCTGCACCATGGGGGTCATGGCTGAGCACACGCACAGCCCTCACGTTATCAGGGCAAAACATCCTGATTACCCTGAATTCAGGATGCAATTATGTATTTACCCTGTCATTTCAGAATAGTTTCAATTTTAACCCTGAGGGCACAGGATGTTTTTATCTGAAATGACCTGAACATTCAGGATGGCCGTAGTGTTCTTCCCTGTAGCGTCAGGATGAATGTTGAGGCCTGCCCTGATGTGTTTTTTTTTGGGGGGGGGGGGGGGGGGGGGGGGGGGACCAGTTTAGGGGGGATTTTTTTCCCCAGGGATTTTTGTCTCCGTTGAAAATTTCCCCCGTGTATGTTTCCCGCCTTCGCATGATCTCTTCCCCTTGACAGTTCTGTTCCGATCCCCCGCAAACCTATCACCCACCACCAAGGCAACTCGTCCTGTGCCAGGCTAGCACTAGCTGGGTCTCTCTCGCAAGCGTTCAGTAGCACTCCATCCAACACCCTTGCAGTGTTGCTGTTAGAGTAGCAGCAGCACCAGTAGTGAAGCTCGGCTGGATGATGGCAAACGAGGACGATAGCGTGGCGCCAGTATCACGGGGTCTAACCGGATTAGATTTCTTGCGTCCGGTTAGAGTTGTGTTCACCTTACCAGCAGGTTCACCTGCAGCTAGTTCATCTCGAACTCCCGCAGTCACACCCGCCTACGCTAGGACGAACGGCACCAACGTTGTACCACCTGGTGCGACACGCATCGGCCGTGCCGCTACTGCAAAGTTAGGGCGCGTGTCTTTTGGTGTAGACGTTCGAATTTTTGGTTGAACTTTTGTTGGTTACCCTATTCGTTAATGTCGTTAAATCCTTTGCCAGGAAGTCGTGTGTCCATGTACACTGTCGGCAACGATGAGAGTTGGACTCCGACGTTGAACTTTCAACAACAAACATGCTGGCACGAAAATGCAAGCGTGTGTCCAACTCACCACTGACAACGACGATGCGAAGTCTGCGACACTCGCAGTTAGCATCGTGCGCACTAGGGTACACGTCAGCGTGAGTCCCGGTTTCGGCAACGCACACGTGGCTGCGAACGTGGCACGAACCCAACATACCCGAATAGGCTCGTCCATGTCACCGACACCGACGCGGAAATTTGGCGCCACTGCCAAATGAAACAGTCGCATGTAACGCTGGGGGGTTCGTCATGGTGTGAGAGTGTTGTGAGCTGGACGTATGACACGAGGGCTATTTGTAGTTCATATGTCATCAATTCGCGGGGGCCTTACGTGGCGCACTGTCAAGAGCCCAAACCGGGTAACCTACGAGAGTAGGTCGCGGCTCGGCTGGGCTGCAAAAGTTCAACTTCGATAGATGAACTTTTGTGTGTCTTGTGATTCTCGGGAGTGTTGGGGCCGCGACTCGGTTTGCAGATTTGGATAAACTCGAGCCTAGGTCGACCTAGGTTCAAATGTGTACAGTTCAACTCAAAAACCGAGTTTTGCTTATAAAAAACAAAAGACACGCACCCTTAAGAGCGACCAAGCACAAGCAGTCGCGCTTGTCGTTCTCTCGCGATAGTCCCACGGAACCCACCGCTCGTGTCCGCTTAGCGCCAGCTTTACCAGGACCATCGGCCGTTCCTGCAGCAACTTCGTCCACCGAGGAACTGCGCGATGAGGCAAAGGATAAATACCAGCAGGCGCTTATGAAGTACAAACAGGAATGGGCAACTGATTTCCCGTGGCTCGTGCTTTGTCAAACATCTTTCGGTTTCCCATCAGGGAGGTGCACTTTGTGTATCAAGCACGCAGGACACGGCACAAACTACGGCGGTGCTGGGGAAGGTGCCGTCGATGTCCAAACCCAGACGTTCCGCACGCATCAAAGCTCCAGGAAGCACAAACGGTCCGTCAAGAGACAGGCCCAGGCGGACAAGGCGGCTGAGAAGCTGCAGTGCATCATCGATTGCCCAAAGGCTGGAGACATCCAACGTGTAAGGGTCATCGCTCTGCTGGAGATCCTGCTGTTCATCTGCAAATGTGACGCACCGATTGAGATGTGGGTTCAACTAGTTCGGCACCTTGCAGAGCGACAGACACCAGGCTTCCCCAAGAATGCGGTGCTTATTACACCAGGTGAGCCGTTATTCAACAGTAGTTGCTATACTCGGAAACTTAGTACGGAGGTTGCTCACAACTATCCCACTGTTGCTAACCCTCAGTACCTTCTTTCCTTGGATGCAGATATGGGTTTGCCGAGCTCATCGCAAGCACTGCAGCATATCTCCGTGCTCGTTAGCAAGTCTGGTTGCAGTCTAGTCCATTCATCGGACTAACATGTGACGAGAGTACAGATCGTGTGCATGGCAAACACCAGATCGTGTTTGCCACGTTTCTCCGTGACTCTCGTGTAGTCACGGAGTTCATCGGTCTACTGATGGTGGAGAAATGCGATGGCGCTTCCTTGCTTTCCCTGTTGCTGACCCTCCTTGATTCTCTTGGAATCGACATGAATAGGGTGGCCGGGATTAGCACGGATGGCGCATGTGCGATGATGGGTAGCACAAACGGCCTGGTGGCTCGGCTGCGTGTAATGGTCCCGCACCTCTTCTCCAGCCTTTGTGTTGCACATCGGTGAGTAATACTTATTGCCTGTATGTGTTGCATCTAGATGCCCATCACGTTGCACAGCAAGTGTAAGGCAGGCAGGCGCTCATATGATCTAAAGCTCATGCCATTCCCCACCCAATCTGACTTTTTCTGTCCCTACTCTGTGCATCACCACGAAACTCCGTTTTCTGTACCTTCTCTGTGCATAACCAGAAAATTCCCTGTTCTGTCACTGTTATGTGTGTAATGCGGGGCACGTGTGGACAAGCGTGCTGCCAAGAAGGAACTGAGGACATTCGTCCCTGTCCTTGCTGGCGCTCCCCGAGGCGAGCGCACCTTTCAACGCGGACTGGCGGCCATGCTGCAAACGAAGGACTGGGAGCGGAGCTACCCCAACCTCGTCCGCCTCTGGACAGCGGTGGCTGTCCTGCCGCTCAGCACCGTCGAGTGTGAGCGCGGCTTTAGCCGCCAGAACGTGATTAAGTCCTGGCAGAGGACAAGCCTCTGTGATGCCAGGCTCAGTGACCTGATGTGCCTGAGCCTGGTTGAGTATGACATGGAATGGGGGAAAGTTGTGGATTTGTGGCGCAGCAGCAAGAAGAGGAGGCCTATAAAGAGAAAGGAGAAGCAGGGGAAGGCACGGAAGGGGAATGTGTTGGAGGACGGGCAAGAAGCAGATTCTGAACATGGCAGCAGCAGCGGCAGCAGCAGCGACAGTGGGTTTAGTAGCAGCAGCGATGATGAGGTGGAGGAGGGTAAGAGGTGGTGTAGGAGTTAATTGAGTAGTAAAACACCGACTATATGTGTGTGCTGCTCTGCTCTGCTCTGCTGCTCTGCTCAGCATAGTCTGGTCTGGTGTGTCTGTGTGCTACTAAAATCTGAACCCTGAACACTGTTTTTTTTGCCCTGACAGGTCAGGATTAGTTTTCGCACATGCCCTGAACATACAGGAAGGCTTTGAGAATTCGCCTTGACAAATCAGGGCATTTTTTAAGATCCTAGAAAAGTACCCTGAGGCCTCAGGGTCCCCAAAAAACTAGCACGGGCCCTGCACACGCACACCGTGTAGAGTGCAATGTGTCCTCTCCCTCTGTGTGTGTATGTTGATGTCAAGTCATAGTTTTCGTGAACGTCCTTTCAAGCATAACTACCACAGCATTGTAAATTTGACAAATGCCGTACTCTCATTAGATGATTAGACCGTTTTCTGCATTGAAACGTCCACATCTTGCCGTAGGTACTGGAGTTGTGTGTGTTGGAAAATACCGTATAGCAAAACATGCAAACCGTGAAAGCTACGGTAGAATGCGTGTGGTGTGGGCAACGCATTGCTTACAGAGGTTCGGGCTAGTCTTCATTTAAGCATGGCTCTGCACTTATACAACAGCTAGTGATCTGGCAGAAGCTGGAGAGAAGTACAATGAACACTAACGGCTGGTAACAGGCGTAAAAAGAATGAGGCCCAGTGAACAGGTGGGATTATTTCTGTTTATTTAATAGTTTTCCAACTTTGTGCTGTTTCGAATTTGATGACAGAGAGTCACGTGGTTTGGTCCTGACACAAGAGGCTTTATTTGCCAGAAAATGAACACAGAGCGCGCCATTTATTACCAGACCTAGTGTTTGCTGAATTGATCGGTCGAGTTGTCGGAAGAGGGGGCAACCTTCCCCAGAACATACTATACACTAATATATTTTTCGATTCGGCTGCGCGCATTCAGTGTAGTCTGGAATTTAAGTAGACATTTGTACATGACTTTCCAAGGTCGAGTAACATTCGTGTTTGACGACCGCCGCTGCCCGATTATGTCTCTACCGAAACTCACGAACTTACTAGACGGATAATTATTCCTTGCCGTTTCCTTTTGAGACTGTAGAGTAGAGATGCTTCTAGCGAATTAGGTGTAACTAGAACCAACACTGCGCATGAAGCGTCAAGTTCGGATGACACAAGGTTGGGCTGGGAATCCAGTGCGGTCCGACCATGTTGGCTCCATAAAACCCATTTTGAGTGGAACGTGTCTCGCTGGTGAACGAACAAGAAAGATGCACGAGCCTGAGTCACATTCTAGCTTCTCCTACAACCAAATATGAGCACTGCCTGCTCTACCTGAGCCTTTCTCACTACTGCTTTTCTGTTAGATTGTCTCCGTTCTCGCCACCGTTTACGTGAGAAGCTCACGTTTACGACTAGTAGTCCATCGCGACATGCTGTTGACAGCATTACGAATTGAAGTGTGCGGATGCGTGGTTGATGCGTAACGGCTCATCCACACTCATATTGAAGCGAATCTGGCTCTCAGCCGCAGCTCATTCGTTACTCTCGTTTTTATATTACTATTTATACTTAATAGCCCTATTAAGGATTCCCGGACGGAAGGCAACTCTCGTTAACTCATTCATCCACTCCGCATCGGTACCAAAGCCACGACGCCGCAATGCAGAGCGCAAAGCACAGACTGACTCACCGCAGCGATGCCGCCGAAGCCCAAGGCGACGAGGCGGTCCTCTTGCCCGTGCTCGCACCCTCCAGTGCCCGCAGCAAGCTCACCAGTGTCTCAGCCCCCAGCAGCCCGCAACTCAAGGCCGCACGCTCCGCTAATGGCTCCGGGATCGCCGCTTGCCTCTCGCTCTCCTGGGCCATTCTCGCCACCATAATCGCTGCGGTCTCGATCTCGTTACACGTGGCGGAACCTCCACCGTGGATCTTGGCCGCCTTGCAATCCGAGCCGTCGGATCCCGGATCGACGGCTGACGTGCGGAATTGCAGCGACTGGATTTCAAAGCCAGCGGCAGCGGGCGCCGGTGCTGAGGATCCGTGGGTTTCAAGCAAGGTGGGTCGGCTAGATAAGCATCCGCGTTTTCGACGGCTAGATAAGCATCCGCGTTTTCGACGGCTAGAAAGCATCCGCGTTTTCGACGGCTAGATAAGCATCCGCGTTTTCGACGGCTAGATAAGCATCCGCGTTTTCGACGGCTAGATAAGCATCCGCGTTTTCGACGGCTAGATAAGCATCCGCGTTTTCGACGGCTAGATAAGCATCCGCGTTTTCGACGGCTCCGCGTTTTGGACGGCTAGATAACCATCCGCGTTTTTCGACGGCAAGCACCTACAAATCATTCAAATCAATCGAATCAATGTTCCTTTTAGCTGCCTATCGTTCCTGTGTTTCGATTCTCCATATCCAGCACGATGCCTCAACCCCCGAGCTCCGCCTGCGCCGCTGCGCCACTGCGCCGCGCTTTCCCCCCTGCATTCCATCGCGGAAAAGGTTTTGGCTCAAATTCGAGTTTAAGTCTGAAGGTTGCAGGGAAGTTGCAGAAACGTTGCAGAAAGTATCCGAAAAGCTCTGAGTGAAAAATGGAACATGCACCAATTTCGGATACATGTGGCTTCCGAGCCGCGCATGTTGGATACGTGGGGTACCCGAGGCGCGAATTGTGGATACGTGGGTTACCCGAGCCGCGAATTTATTGCATCATTTTCGAATCATCTTCACCGAACAGCACACCTGGTCACGACCAAATCTCTTGAGTCCCCCGTGCTGGTGTACGATTGAGGAACACTGCAGCCCGAATCAGGTGGGCATTGTCGAACGTTGCGAGCATAGTAACTGGGATACAAAATAAAACGAGGCTCGCGAAAAAAAAAAGCCAGAATCGTAACTGGCAGCTGGCACACAGTTCCATGTCACACCCAAAGTGTTCAGATTCTGTGCAAGTGACGTGGCTTCTCCGAACCACAGGTAACCGGAATTGAGCTATCCTCACGATTTTTTAATGACCAATTACTGGTGTGGTCTAACCTAAACCAGAAATCTACGGCATCCGTGACGACACATCATCACACATTGGAGCTCTAGAAGCATCACACTACGAGTGTATCTCTCCCTAAACCGCTAGTTGCCCAGCTGATGTTCACACATCTTGCTCAGGTTATTGTTCCATTTCGACCCACCTCGTGTCTCTGCCGTCCCCTCAGCAAGCGTATACCGTAGAACGTACGTCTTACGTTGTGTATCTAATAAACTAGTGTATGAAGTATCAATCCTTCAACATCTGCCCAGATCTACCGTCTCATCCTTTCATTTCTTTACCCTTTTTTTCTACCTCCCGTCCCATATACAGCTCGTCGCCTTGCTCAACTCACTCGGAAGACGTTCTGCGCGCGAATCGCCGCGGACTCAGCACCCGTCAACCTACGGACGCAGCGACGAAAAGCTCGTTGCCCGGCTGCGGAAGCGCCTTGTTCGGCGCGGAAAGCGCCGGTGTGTGTACTAAACACGTTCAGCTGCATACTGAAATTTGTAAGCATACTGAATCATGTGACGCCCATCACTCCTGTTCTTATCCTCACTCTTTCATTTCTTCTCACGTTTTAGGCTTCTTCTCTTCTCGATTTGGTTCATTTCTTCCCATAATGAATGCAGATCTATTTCCTCCCATTTCAAATTGCACGCCTGTGCCACCTTTAACAGGTTCGTTGTTGTTTTCCTGTGCAGCCTCCCACTACACAAATCGTCTCTACGCTCTCTGCATGAGAGAGAAGGTGTGGTAGTCGCGCGAAGGTCTCTCTCTGCCTCTGATAAGAACCATGCGCGTTTTTAACCCATGCTGTCTGAAATGTAGGCTTTAACGATAACGTTTTCATGTTTGTTGTTCTTAGTCATCGTGTTTCAGGTTTAATATTCATGTGCAGGGTTAATGGAAGTCACGAGATGTTAATTTTCATATGCAGGGGGGTATCAAGATCCAGGCCCTGTGAAGCACATTGACGGCAATATTATCTATCTACGTCAAGGCCCTGGGTGATAAGTCACTAAGGTGGGGAACAAGCATATGACTAACCAAGGTCTAACATTATGTCGTCTTTGTGTTTGCAGGCTTTAAAACGAAGCATGATTTCGCCCTGTGTGACTACATGTAGAACCAGACGCTTAGTGATTGTTGGTTTTAGGTGTTTCGTGTTGACTAAATGTGTATACATCATATGTATGCAGACGTCCATAATATTGTAGATTACCTCCAACCCCACCTGTAACAAATAATCCTTGAAACGAATGGTCCGCTTGTACTGTTCAGACAAATTCTCGGCCAGTAGTATTCAATTTTCGCACACGCGAAGTCTTGTCTGATTGGTCCACGTGGCAAGCTGGCGTTCACATATTGAGAATGACACCTGGCAGAAATATCTTTGCTTACGTGGCAAAATATCTTCGCGAACGTACCGACGTACGTACACTTCGAACTCCAAACTGTACGCATGCCACGTGGCAGGTCGTGAAACTGCATACATGTGATTGAAATGTATCCGACGAGTGTACGCGAAATTGCGGAACTGTTGCTGGAATGCACCTTTCTTGCAACTTTCCTGCAACTTTTTGTCAACTGTCCAGTGACTCGCATTTCTGCAACTGTTGTCCATCACTGCGAAGTTGCAAAACCAAAGTATCCGCCGAGTTACTTTTCTGCAACTTTCCTGCAGCCTACTGGCAAGTCCTTTTTCGCGATGTCCCCCCATGCGCGCTACAGTGGATACCGCGCATGTCGCGGTGTCCAGTAGCGGGGCTGCCTATAGAGGAGCTGGATGAGCACCTCAACTTCCGCCACGGGTCCCCTGCATTCCCCCTCCCGCAGTGGATACCGCGCATGTCGCCGTGTCCAGTAGCGGGGCTGCCTATAGAGGAGCTGGACGAGCACCTCAACTTCCGCCGCGGGTACTCCCTGGGCTTCGTGGACGACGCGGAGGACAAGACGCAGATCCTGCCGGTTCTGAGAGCTGTGCTCGACCCTGCTATGCACACCAGGTGCGTGCTGCACCCTGCTATGCACGCCAGGTGAGTGCTGCACCCCACCATGCACACCAGGTGCGTGCGTGCTGTCTGGTTGGCTCTGCTGGAGCGCTGGGCTTCGTGGACGACGCGGAGGACAAGACGCAGATCCTGCCGGTCCTGAGACCTGTGCTCGACTTTGCTATGCACACCAGGTGAGTGCTGCACCCCGCCATGCACGCCAGGTGAACGCGCTGGGCTTCGTGGACGACGCGGAGGACAAGACGCAGATCCTGCCCGTGCTGCGCGCCGTGCTCGACCCTGCTATGCACACCAGGTGAGTGCGTGATGGCTGGTAAGGCTGCTACCTTTGATATGATGGGCGATGATCATGGATGACGCGAGCGTCACGTGGTTCCTGCAGTCATACCCGCTCGACTTCACTGAGACCCCCCTTGCCTGCTCTGCTCTCCCCATGCTTGCTGCAACCCATGCCTGCTGCAACCCATGCCTGCTGCAACCCATGCCTGCTGCAACCCATGCCTGCTGCAACCCATGCCTGCTGCAACCCATGCCTGCTCTCCCCCACGCCTGCTACTATCCCAGGAAGCGGCGTGTGCTGGTGGACCTGCGGGGGAGATTCTTCAATACAAGCGTCACGTGGTGATACACCTGCTCATCGCTCTGCTGTTCTCCCATGCCTACCGCCCCCCATGCGTGCTCTCCCAGGAAGCGGCGTGTGCTGGTGGACCTGGGGGAAGATTCTTCAACACAAGCGTCACGTGGTTCCTTCAGTCGTATCCGCTCGACTTCATGGAGATTCATGCCGTGGAGGTGCGGCAGGGCGTGTTCCAAGTGCCCGCGCCCAGCCATAAGGTGAGGTGAGGAGGGGTAAGAGGGAGGGGAAAGGGGTGACAAGGAGTGCGAGGGCGTGCATGCCGGTTCCTTCAGTCGTACCCGCTCGACTTCACAGAGATTCATGCCGTGGAGGTGCGGCAGGGCGTCTTTCAAGTGCCCGCGCCCAGCCACAAGGTGAGGAGAACGAAGAAAAGGAACGAAGAAAAGGAGTTAAGGGGGAGTGCAAGGCTGTGTGTGCTGGTGTGAGAGGAAGGACGCGTTCTTTCCCGTTGCATGACTGGGACTTCACTGGGATTCTCTAGAATTTGAAACTCCAGACCCTAGAATGTGAAACCCGAAACCCCAGATATAAAATCCCAAGACGCTCAATTTGAAACCCGAAATCCTAACCTGAATATTCGAAAACCTAATTTGTAACACATCCCCCTCAGCACATGCCCCTCACAGCTTGTCTCGCTCAGCACATCCCCCTCACAGCTTGTCTCACCCGCTCTATGCTTGCATGTCAATCTTACTGCCGCTTCCTATTTCCACCCGTCCGCCCTGGTCAAACCATACGCGCCAACATGAGTAGTCGCGGTCACCTGCACGCGCTGCACATGGGGCCAGCACACTTCCCTGCACATCTATGTATGCTTTGTTTCTACTCTAATATAGTAATTGGTTCCAATTCCAACTTTCCCAGCTGCTCTACAGGATTCACTCGCACCGCTTCAAGGCCACCTTTCCTTCCCTTCCCCTTCCCCTTCCCCTTCCCCTTCCCCTTCCCCTTCCGTTTCCCCTTCCCCTTCCCCTTCCCCTTCCCCTTCCCCTTCCCCTTCCTTTCTTCCCCCGTCCTCTCTTCCCCCTTTCCGCCCATCCGGCCTCATCAGACGCTCAGGGCCAACATGAGTAACCTCAGTCACCTGCGCGCGCTCCACATGGGGCCGGCAGACTTCCCTCCGTGGCTGCTCGCCCGGGTGCACTCGCACCACTTCAAGGCCACCTTCTTTCCGTTCCCCTTCCTCCCCTTCCCCTTCCCGTTCCTCTCCTTCCCCCTTTCTCTCGTGCGCCCTGGTCAGACGCTACGCGCCAACATGAGTTATTATCGCAGTCGACTGCAGCCACTCCACACAGGCCCAGCGGACTTCCCCCCATGGCTGCTCGCCAGGGTGCATGCACTCTCAGATGCTCACTGCCTTCATCAGCCATTCAGCACTTTTCATTCACCCCTTCCTCTCTTCCCACTTCCTCTCTTCCCACTTCCTCTCTTCCCACTTCCTCTCTTCCCACGTCCTCTCTTCCCACTTCCTCTCTTCCCCCCGCAATTAGACGCTACACGCCAACATGAGTTATCGCAGTCGCCTGCGCCCGCTCCACACAGGCCCCGCGGACTTCCCTGCGTGGTTGCTCGCCCAGGTGCACCCACACCGCTTCATGGCCTCGGCTATTGACAATGCCGGGAAGGTGAGGGGGGGTGTCCGTGGAGGGAGGGTGGGGTGGTGGGGGGCATGATGGAGGCTGGGATTGGAGTCGACTCAACACACACCTGCTCGCCTGGGTGTACTCGCACCGCTTCATGGCCTCTGCTAGCGACAACGCTGGGCAGGTGAGGGGGTGATTGGGTGGTGGGAGGGAGGGAGAGTGGGGAGCACGATGGAGGCTGGCATGGGAGTCGATTCCACGCGTCCCCAGGGTGCACTCTCACCGGCCTTGGCTATTGACAATGCTAGGCAGGTGAGGGAGTGGGCGTGGTGGGAATCGAGGGTGGTAGGGAGCACGATGGAGGCTGGCATGGGAGTCGATTCCACGCGTCCCCAGGGTGCACTCGATTTAACCGCTTCATGGCTTCGGCCAGCGACAACGCTGGGCAGGTAAGAGCAGAGGCATGATGGGGGGCAGCAACTGGGGTGGTTGGGGGGCACGATGCAGGCCGGCATGGGAAACATACACCTGCTCGCCCGGGTGCATGCAAACCTATGGCTTCAGGACCTCTGCTACTGACAGCGCTGGGCAGGTGAGGGGGGTTGCGTGGAAAGTACTGGCGTAGGGTGAGACACAGGGCATCGTAGGGTCAGCTGAGGTGTGAACTGCAGGCCGTTTTCAGTCGTCTTGTTTGAAACTCAGTGCTTAAGTACCTTTAGTCATGGCACCATGTGAGTCACGTGACGTGACTGTTGCCATGTGGTGCCTGCCGGTGCAGTCCGGTTGGAAGCGCCTAACCCAGTTCTTCCCCTGCCACCCTCCTGCTTCTCCCGTCCCCTTTTTCTTTCTCTTTCTCTTTCTCCCCGCCCCTCGTCGTCTCGTGAACCTCTCATCGCGGCAGAACATAGTGAACGTGACGCGCTGGCTGCTAGAGGGGTCTTCTAAATCGACTCCTCAATATCTTTCCGCCTGTTCTCCTACTTCCCTGCTGCCTCTCTCTTTTGAAACCCCGTGAACCTGTCAACCCCTCATCACCACAGAACATAGTGAACGTGACGCGCTGGCTGCTGGAGGAGCTGCAACTGACGCCAGAGGAAATAACCCACTCCTCCTCCTGTCACACCCGTGAAGCGAGGGTGTTTTTGAGACGTCTCAAAAACACTCCTACTGTCACACCCCTGCTTCTCCCTCCCTTTCCTCTTGCATCCCGCGCCCCGTCAACCGTTCAAACCCCCACGGCAGGGCATGGTGAAGGTGACGAGGCGGCTGCTGGAAGAGCCTCCTGAGTCGACTCCAAACTAGTCTTTCCACCTGCTCCCCTTCCTCCCTCCCTGCTCGCACCTCAGAACATAGTGAACGTGACACGCTGGCTGCTGGAGGGGCTGCAACTAACGCCAGAAGATGCTGTGGTGGTGAAGATGGATATTGAAGGGTCCGAGTGGCCCATCTTTCATGGTGGGTGGGGCAAGCAGAGGTTGTGGGGGGAGGGGGTAGGTGAGTAGCAGATGTGAGCGACAAGCTCAGCTGAGTGATTCGTGTGAGGCTCACAGAAACCAGAGCTGCAGCTGACGCCAGAGGACTCAGTGGTGGTGAAGATGGATGTAGAGGGGTTCGAGTGGGATATCTTCAAAGGTGGGTGGGGCGAGCTGCAAGGGGAGAGGAGTAGGTGAGAGACAGCTGAGTGGCTCATGCGAGGGACAAGGGACAGGGTCAGGCACAACAGCTGAGGACGCGGCGGTGGTGAAGATGGACATAGAGGGGTCCGAGTGGGATATCTTCAAAGGTGGGTGGGCGAGCTGTGTGGGGTGGGGCAGCGTGGCTGGAGCATGCGAGGGACAGGCTCTAGGTACGCAGCTAAGGTGCAGCTGACGCCAGAGGACTCGGTGGTGGTGAAGATGGATATAGAGGGGTCCAAATGAGTGGGGACATCTTTCGAAGTGAGTGGGGCACTGCCGAGTGGGGGGAGGGGAGAGGGGGCAGAGATACATGTGAGAGATACATGTGAGAGATACATGTGAGAGATACATGTGAGAGATACATGTGAGAGATACATGTGAGAGATACATGTGAGAGATACATGTGAGAGATACATGTGAGAGATACATGTGAGAGATACATGTGAGAGATACATGTGAGAGATACATGTGAGAGATACATGTGAGAGATACATGTGAGAGATACATGTGAGAGATACATGTGAGAGATACATGTGAGAGATACATGTGAGAGATACATGTGAGAGATACATGTGAGAGATACATGTGAGAGATACATGTGAGAGATACATGTGAGAGATACATGTGAGAGATACATGTGAGAGATACATGTGAGAGATACATGTGAGAGATACATGTGAGAGATACATGTGAGAGATACATGTGAGAGATACATGTGAGAGATACATGTGAGAGATACATGTGAGAGATACATGTGAGAGATACATGTGAGAGATACATGTGAGAGATACATGTGAGAGATACATGTGAGAGATACATGTGAGAGATACATGTGAGAGATACATGTGAGAGATACATGTGAGAGATACATGTGAGAGATACATGTGAGAGATACATGTGAGAGATACATGTGAGAGATACATGTGAGAGATACATGTGAGAGATACATGTGAGAGATACATGTGAGAGATACATGTGAGAGATACATGTGAGAGATACATGTGAGAGATACATGTGAGAGATACATGTGAGAGATACATGTGAGAGATACATGTGAGAGATACATGTGAGAGATACATGTGAGAGATACATGTGAGAGATACATGTGAGAGATACATGTGAGAGATACATGTGAGAGATACATGTGAGAGATACATGTGAGAGATACATGTGAGAGATACATGTGAGAGATACATGTGAGAGATACATGTGAGAGATACATGTGAGAGATACATGTGAGAGATACATGTGAGAGATACATGTGAGAGATACATGTGAGAGATACATGTGAGAGATACATGTGAGAGATACATGTGAGAGATACATGTGAGAGATACATGTGAGAGATACATGTGAGAGATACATGTGAGAGATACATGTGAGAGATACATGTGAGAGATACATGTGAGAGATACATGTGAGAGATACATGTGAGAGATACATGTGAGAGATACATGTGAGAGATACATGTGAGAGATACATGTGAGAGATACATGTGAGAGATACATGTGAGAGATACATGTGAGAGATACATGTGAGAGATACATGTGAGAGATACATGTGAGAGATACATGTGAGAGATACATGTGAGAGATACATGTGAGAGATACATGTGAGAGATACATGTGAGAGATACATGTGAGAGATACATGTGAGAGATACATGTGAGAGATACATGTGAGAGATACATGTGAGAGATACATGTGAGAGATACATGTGAGAGATACATGTGAGAGATACATGTGAGAGATACATGTGAGAGATACATGTGAGAGATACATGTGAGAGATACATGTGAGAGATACATGTGAGAGATACATGTGAGAGATACATGTGAGAGATACATGTGAGAGATACATGTGAGAGATACATGTGAGAGATACATGTGAGAGATACATGTGAGAGATACATGTGAGAGATACATGTGAGAGATACATGTGAGAGATACATGTGAGAGATACATGTGAGAGATACATGTGAGAGATACATGTGAGAGATACATGTGAGAGATACATGTGAGAGATACATGTGAGAGATACATGTGAGAGATACATGTGAGAGATACATGTGAGAGATACATGTGAGAGATACATGTGAGAGATACATGTGAGAGATACATGTGAGAGATACATGTGAGAGATACATGTGAGAGATACATGTGAGAGATACATGTGAGAGATACATGTGAGAGATACATGTGAGAGATACATGTGAGAGATACATGTGAGAGATACATGTGAGAGATACATGTGAGAGATACATGTGAGAGATACATGTGAGAGATACATGTGAGAGATACATGTGAGAGATACATGTGAGAGATACATGTGAGAGATACATGTGAGAGATACATGTGAGAGATACATGTGAGAGATACATGTGAGAGATACATGTGAGAGATACATGTGAGAGATACATGTGAGAGATACATGTGAGAGATACATGTGAGAGATACATGTGAGAGATACATGTGAGAGATACATGTGAGAGATACATGTGAGAGATACATGTGAGAGATACATGTGAGAGATACATGTGAGAGATACATGTGAGAGATACATGTGAGAGATACATGTGAGAGATACATGTGAGAGATACATGTGAGAGATACATGTGAGAGATACATGTGAGAGATACATGTGAGAGATACATGTGAGAGATACATGTGAGAGATACATGTGAGAGATACATGTGAGAGATACATGTGAGAGATACATGTGAGAGATACATGTGAGAGATACATGTGAGAGATACATGTGAGAGATACATGTGAGAGATACATGTGAGAGATACATGTGAGAGATACATGTGAGAG